TTCCCTCAGAGTTGCTCCTATGCTCTCATTCATCATCAACCATATCCAGAAGGCTTGTGGCATGCCACCACTAATCTCTACTCCCTAATGCCAAAGTGTCAGTAGAGTTAGGGTCTGCCTCTGACAATCTGATCCTCTTCTGGGAGGCCCAGTACTCTTGGCACTGGGGAGAGGAATGGAAGGCCCATCCTGAGGCCAATGAAGAGAGGGAAACGGGGGCGAAGAGTGATTCTCGTCATGCAGTGAGAATCTCCTCCTTTGCTGTGATATCTCTGCTGCCTTCCTTCCCTGCTAGTGCATTTCCATGCCTGGTTGTGCTGGCTGTTACCATCAGTTATTTCTTTAGCCATAAGCACATGAAAGGCTCCCAAGTTTCTGCTTTAAGCAGTGAGGTCAGAGTTGTGATATGCTTGAGCTAGCTGCCCAGGCAGGAGAGGGTATCCAAGAACCTCAGAGCTTCCCACCTAATTTCACAGGGTTTAGAGATACCCTGCCATGTTCCATCCAAACGCAAGAGTTCTGCTCGGATGAAAAGCCTCGTAGAAGCTCCTAGAAAGCAGAGAAGAGAAAGAAGAAGAAGAATTTGAAGATAAAACAAGGACCCAGGGAAATTACTGATTATGAATTATTATCAGAAATTTTAATTCACTGGTACCCATTGGTTGTAGCATTGCTTCTGCTTCCCACTCAGATGTGGCTCAAACCCAACTATATCTCACTAAAATATAGGGTCTTACATTCACATACGCAGCCAGTTAATTTCTCTTTCCCCAGTCTGTATTCAATGAGCAGACATCAGCTCTAGTTATCTATTCTATCATTTCTGTGCAGATACAGGTAGGGCACAGGGTGGCTAGCTTGGTCCCAACCCCATTGGGAAAACTGGGGACAAGACTAAAAAGGCTCACAGATTGGAGAGGCAAAAATCGACTCTGAAGCAGTGCCCCTGGGGACTCTTAGGGAACAGAAATGGCAAAGAGGCAGAGTTCAGATGCCTTTCCTAAGCAAAACCAAAGAGAGACTATAAAGATAGCAGCTGATGGACAATGAGAACCAAGAGAGATGGTGTGTAATGACAGTGCTGGGTTCAAGCAATGCTGATGAGAAAATTACTTGCCATCACAGCATGGAGAGTCTCAGGAATGACTATGTTCCCACTGCACCAGGCAGAAAATAAACTCTTGTGAACCCTACCTCCACATCAAGGACCAGCCTGGAGGCTAAGTGTAGGCTGTGGAAGAAGACAAGTTTTATTTGTTAATCCATGATAGTGTCCAATGCAGCTTCTGCCAGCCAATCTGTGCTATTTGGTACCAGAGAAGACACACAGTGAGATGTAAGCATTTTCTAGTGGGTGTGTTTTCTAATACCACATGGTTTTGGTGCTATGAGGGAGCAGTTGGAGCAGAAAGTCCCACAGGAACACCTTCAGTATGAAAAGGCTTTGTAGGTATAAGACACCCAATACAAGAGACGTCATGCTGACCTGTGCATCAGCATGAACCCAAAATCTTGTTCAAAACATCATACTGGTAGGCTGTGCTGCCTATCGTGTTTGAAACAACTGCTGCTGCTGCATGTGCCACTGCTTCTCCAGGCTCTGAGATACTGGCTAAGATGCCAGAGAAGGTGGCAGGAGGACCCAAACCCTGCAAGCCTCCAAGTTTCCAGTTGGACTGACTATGAAAGCAATGACTGTTTGCCAGAAGCACAGAAGAACTTTCTCTCACCACTCTGAAAGGGAACTGAAGCCTGCACAGTACAGAAGGACAACAGGTGCACCAGGCTGGGGCTCAGGAGCCTGGACAAAAGCAGTACAGGAGAACTTGGTACTTTTAGCTCCTTTAGACTCAACAAGCCAAGAGGAAGGTGCCAAGAAGGCAGCAAAAGCCAAGAACCACCTGGTCCTTGACTGGCACTGCCAAGAAGCCCTGATTATCTGTGGCTGCAACATAAGTCCCAAGGAAAGCCAAGAAACTGGCAGCCACTATGACCAAAAAAGCAATCAAGAGCTACAGAATATGAAAAGTGACAGACCAAAAAAGGCAAAGATCCAACTAAGGGCAAAACAGTGAAACCCAAGGCTACCAAACCAAAGGCAGAGAAATCGAAAGTGACCTCAGGGTGAGAAAGTAGTGCACAAGTAGATGCTGTATGAGCATAGAAAAAGTGGCCTGCTGCAGAGCCATAGACTGCAAATCCTTAATTTAGCCACTGATTTTTGTCATGTTTTGCATTTTTTAATACAGTTTCTCCAAAGGAAGAGAATTAATTTTAATAATTTAAATGCCTTGTTTTGCAATAAAACTCGGGCTTTGTATGAACTAAATATTTCTTCTTGCTATTTTCTTCAAATATCTGCAGCAGTGTTGTAGGGGAGAGTTTGCTCAGAGATGCACAGCAAAAAGAACAGAGGCAAATGCTGAATGCTGCAACAAAGAAATTTCTGATCTGACATCAGGAAACTATTCTCCATCTTAAGCGTGGTGCAGCATTGGAACAGATTGAGGATTCTCCATCCTTGCTGACTTTTTCAAAATTCACCTGGACAAGGCTCTGAGTGATCTTATTAGCTTTGAAGGTAGCTCTGTGTGCTAACTTTCAGTATAATTTTATCTATTATCCTAACTGGGGAGGTATACAATCTCAATATCAACATTTATTTTAAAAAAGGCATAGCTTCATGTACATTTATTCTTATATTTAAGTAGGTGAGATCTGACGTTACTTATTAGCTAGACATATTGAATTATATGTTTCTCTATCACATCTTTTTGTTAATGTCTAATTTGTGACAGGCTGTATTTGTATGGATATTGCAATATTAGTAAAATTTACAAAACAGCATTCTGACAGATAATTTATTCATTAAATGAATTTAATGTTTTTTTACCAATTCACTTTTTTATATACTTCAGCATAGTAGCAATGAGTACATAAACTGATATAATTTATATTATTGAAAATATTTTTATTTGAAAAAATAATTTACATTAATAGCAAAAGTAGACAATCAAATACCCTTGTGATGTTTCACACAACTTTTTTTATAACTTCTTTTAATGGACTGAAATCCAGCTCTCTATTTTGTAGGAGTTTATTCCAACTTGCTGCACTACAGGGGCTATGGATAGCAAGAAACAGAGAGAAAAGAGCAGGATGCTGAAGATCAGAGAGCAGGAACTGAAGAGATTCAGAAATGGAATTCAGATTTCCTGTGCCCTGTCAAGGGACTGTTCACAGCTGGATGAAGGAACACTGTCAAACAATGTCAGACCATGTGGTGCCAGGAGTCAATGTTATAGGATTGTGTACCTTTAAAATCTTTGGGGGGAAAAAACCCAACCACAACTTTTTTTTTTTCTCTAATTTTTAAGTCCCTTTTGGTTTCCAGCCAGCTATTCTTTGTTTAATAGGGGTGCTTTTTTTGGATAAGCTGCAAGCACCAGTCCCCTCTGTGAAGGGCAAACCCACACCCCAGCCAGAAGGATGCTCTTATGGGATCCCTCCAAGCTGAGACGCCCGATGTCAACGTATTTTGTTCATGCTGTGGGCTTTTGCGGAAAGATTCAGGAAACATGGAGCTTCTAGGTGACATGGCAGCTGCTTCCAACAGGGGACCAAGCATCAGAACACTGGCTTTCAAACAGCAGCCTTCAAACTGGCAACACTGCTCAGCAGTGGGGAGCCGTGACAGTAAAAGGAGCAGGAACAACCATTGTGTCGGAAGTGACCGCAGGACATCTAACTCCTGCTCCAGGTCAGAAGTTTGTGAAAATCAGCCACAAACACAGGACCATGTTTCTAAAACAGGCCTCTGGCAGCTTTCTTTGTGGCTATCCCAACTGCATGAACAGCAGACCTAGCTGGAGCTGTATTTAAAACCACTGCCCTGGCTTATAAGAGAAGGCTCTATCCAGAGACCAGCAACCATGGCAATTCAGTTTGGAATGGCAGGGAAGGTAAATCTGTGTATGGAATAAGTGCTAATGAAGGTGGGAAAGTGTGTCTGCAGACTCCAGCGCTGTAAGAAAAGGGAAGGATAAACTGAATCACAAAAATCTGATGGCACACACAGCCAGTGGAAAGTGCCAATAGAGGGACACTGCACAGGTCAAGAGCTCATGAGACAGAGCAGGGTTTGGCCTGTGTAGGTGGGAGCAACATCTACAGTCACTGGGGCTGAGGCTGTTTCCATTATAACAGTCCAAGACAGGGACACCACAGCATCAGCCAGGAAGGGGCATTGCTTCTAGGGGATAGCACTGTGCAATAATCTGCATTGTGTGGTTTAGTCCTGAAGTCCTATGGGACACTGTCAGAGGCACTTTAATGGGTAATTTGGGCCACAGCCACTTTTGTTCTAGAAATACCATCTAAATGCAGACCTCACTGCTTGCACATGAACACACTGCCTAGAGTGCCCCAAACTCTGAGTGCTCTATCTTTTCAATGAAAATATGATGCACAGTCAGTGCCTGATGAATCTATGCAAAAATCAGAAAATCAATGAAAGAGAAATTCTTCTAATCCTTTTGACCTAGATATGTAATTTTCCCATTATTGAGTTAAATGGTTGTAGTGAACAAATTCTTCTTCACTCATGTGATAGTTAGCACAGCTCTTCTCTTATTTCAGTCACCTTACCATCTTACTTGGAGATGTTAATTCTTTACCAGAAAGTCATGGCACATGCACAGTGAAAAGATCTGTTTTCAGCACAAATTTAACGGGTTGGGAGGAGTTATCCTTGTGTTCAGCAGCTACCGACTGTCAGGAAAATCTAGCACAGCTATGTTGGAGCAAATTTTATGTTTCTCTAGAAAAAATAATGACTTCCCAGGAAGACCTGTGATTCACGAGTGAAGGGAGGGTGGCAGCAGAGGACTAGGCTAGCAGGGAGTAAAAAGGTCCAAATGACAGATTTGGGTTGGAGTCAAGTTTCCTCACAAATCTGGAGGAAATACAGCAAGTGACAAATACACCCAAACACGTGAGAGTTGCCAAGAATAATAGGAAATAAATTTTCCTTTAATACACATTATATAGACTCTAGCATTAAAACAATGTTCTCCTGGACAGGAGCACCTCTTCCTGACCCTGCTGAAAGCAAGCAACAGAAAGGCTTCTAACTACTTCCCAAACTGTATGAATGTTTAATTTCTATATGCTGTACAGGAGCTATGTTACACAGCTATATATCTATATCAACTTATAGTCAACTCTAAATACAAAGTGGAGACTTGGCCTAGTCCAATTTCCAAGATGTCCCTCTAATATCTCGTCTCCATCCTACCTTCCTCCACACAGGCAATTTTCAGAGGTATCCCATCATGGAAGTCAGTGGCTGCCAGTGGCTTGAATTTCTGTGAGATCAAGCTCTCAGTGACCTCCTTTCTACAGAAACATGCACTCTCTCAGCACAGAGAAATTCCTCCTCCATACCTAGTCTCCAGAGCCTAGACTGAGGAGGAGCATCATTCCCTGAGTAGGGGTGCAATGCTCCTATGTATAGGATGAAATTCCAGACACTGCATAACTTGAAATTCTTTCTCCTGTGTACTGGCTTAATACAGAGAGATTTAGCCCGTCTATGGACAATTTTGACCTCATATGGAACAAATCTGTCTGCACAGGGTGTCTTCTCCTACAGAGTGGATGTAAACAGCTTATTGACGCATACAGCAGAAATCCTAGTCCAGGTGAGAGGGTCTTACTTGTTTTACTCTTTTTCTCAAGAGACATCTGCCTCTGTGCAGCAAACTGTCCCTGATATTGTGTGATCCTGGCTCTGTGCAGGAGAGCAGTGTCTCTGCAAGGGTGAATGGTACTCTGTTCATCAGCAGAGTATATTATGTGATGGGGGTGAATGCCTAATCTGGCGAACTGGCTCTCTGTTAGTTGGGAACAACACAGAGGTCCTAGAGACAGGGTCTTGCTGATCTGCTGCAGTGCTCCGGTGCCTCACAGAATCATGCCACTGAGAGTCACACAGAATAATTAATACAGTTCAGACTGCTCTTCCCCACTTACCCTACCCAGTGTCATCATGTAAACTGCCCATATACCTGGAAATGTTCTCCATATATCTGAAATACAAAGTTCCTGAGCAGACCAGACATCCAGTGCTACCAGAGTAATTGTTCTCCCCAGGCTGGCCTGCGTCTATAAGCACTTATATCTGCAGATATGTTTACCTTCCCCATCAGCACCTGGTTCTGTACAGGTCAGCAAAGTCAGAGAACCTGCAGGAAAATCCCAGGTCCCTGATAACCAGGGATCCCAGATAATGATTCTTCTCTCACATCTGATTCCAGTTTGTGACTCCTTTCTGCTTTGTGCAGAAGCTTCCAGGTCAAGAGGTAGGAACTCAAGTGGAGATATTGAAAGCAAGCTCAGCAACTGGAGAGTGTGGAGGTAGCCAGACCAAGACAAGACACCAGGACAAGCTAATTCATTGCAAGTTCCCTGTACTGTCAGGACACGCAGGTTCTTCATGGGCTTTCTTGGGCTTAGGAGTGGAGACAGCCATAATTACTGCTCTGTGGAACTTGCCTGGAATGGACATCAAGAGATGTCTTCAATGGGAAGGGAGGGACAAGAACAGGGGAGAGGAGACGAGGGAGTGTAAGAGGCAGCACTCTGTTCCAACATAATCTTCTCGAGAAAATATAATGCCATACTAAATCCAGAATTCTTCCTTTCGGTAGCAGTTGTGTGTGAGGGAGGCAATGGGACAAAGAACTTCCCAGAGGGAGTTATAAATGATCTGTTGCCATCCAGGGGCAATGAGGTTTGCCTTGGGTTCAGGATAGCTCATCTCCCATTTCTGTCACTTCTCTGATGCCAGCAGACACAAGGAGGAGATTGTGCTATCACACAACAAACGCAGTGGCTCAGGAGAATCAGAGAGGCTCAGGCTGACTAACAATATCTGAGCTCATACTGATGCCATTGCAAGAAAGAAAGGGCAGGAGTCCTAGGGCCTAGTCCTAGTTTGTACTCCTCCACATGAAATGCAGCTTAGGGCATCTCTACCACTGGAGAGGACTACATCCTGTCCCCATACAGAATATCCCTCCAGGGACAAAGCAAGAGAAGATGCAGCACATTTATAAGGACCTCTGGGAAATGAGCAGCTCGTGGCCTGCCAGACAGAGGGAAAGGAGGGAGCATCTCCTATCCTCAGCAACAGATTTTAAAGATGATGACAGCCACCATAACAGACTAGCAGAGTACTCTGTGTACTGCAGCACCTGAAGAAGAGAATGTAGGGGAAGGCATAGAAGCAAGAAAATGGTGGGGAAATCACAAACAAGAAGGACTTGTCTTGGGTAGGTAGTGGGTGAGGATTTCTCTTCTCTTCCTTCCTTTTCCTCTCCTGCTGTTGGGAGCTCACAGAGCATCAGGCCTTCCATGCTGCTGCTCCAGGAGCTGTCTGCAAGGGAGAGGCAGGGGTTGCCCAGATCGGCGGAGACGTCGAGGAGGAAGGCCAGCCAGCTGGCGACAGATCTCATCTGAAGACATAGCAGACACACACAAGTTGACAGATAATCAAAGCTTCCTTCAAATTCTTCACTACTAGAATAGCTAAAGGTACATCCTTCACTGCATCTATAGAAACTGTTGAAACTGCTGAATCCTCATATACATGAGGCACGCAAAACAGGTCCTTAGGCTTTTATGAATTTCTTTCTGGCTTTATTCATGTACGATACATACTAAAATCACTGGTATTTTGCTGCAACAAAGACTTCATAAAAAATCTAGACTGGATCCTGTTTCTATTCATGACCAGAAATACTGATATTTACTCTTGAACCTCAAAGGAATACAACTTTGAGTAAGAGTGTGTTTGGGGCTAGTAGAGCACGATCAAGATGGAGGAATACAGAGCTATCATACTTCTTGTTAGTACAATATCTACTTCCCATTTTATTTGGTCATGTTTTTTGTGTACTGGACCTAAGACTGCATTGCATTAGAGCTCCTTCACACAAAGTCCAGGGAAACTACTACATAAAGACTGGAGTCCAAGCTAACTAGTTAGCTTAGAGACTCTATCAGATGGCTGCAGCTATTCTTCTAGGCTATCTTGTGATATCACTCACCTTGCATGACCTCATTCTCCTTGCAGACAATGCGAGAGCACACCTCCTTGTTTATTATGTACATGCGACGCACACTGAGGGATCGCCAGGGTCAGTAGCGAGAGGCACAGAGACCCAAAGAAAGAAAAAAGGGATACAGGCAATAAACATATATTCACTGATGAGAAGGCAAGTCCTAAATTTTTATTAGTTACCCTAGATTAAGGCTGCCATCAATAGCAAAGTAATCTTGGCAACGGCTTCATAAAATCTTAGAATCATAGAAAGGTTTGGGTTAGAAGGGACCTTCAAGATCATCTTGTTCCAACCCACTGTCATGGGCAGGGACACCTTCCACTAGATCAGGTTGCTCAAAGCCCCGTCCAACCTGGCCTTGAACAATTCCAGGGACTGGGCATTCACAATTTCTCTAGACAATCTGTTCCTGTGTCTCATCACCTTCTGCATAAAGAATTTCTACCTAACATCTAATCTAAATTTCTCCTCTTTTAGTTCTTGTCCTATCACCATTTGCCTGTGCAAAAAGCTGCTCTCCCTCCTTTTCATAAACTCCCTTCAGGTACTGGAAGGCCGCAATAAGGTTTCTCTGGAGCCTTCTCTTCTCCAGGCTGAACAACCCCAGCTCTCTCAGCCTGTCTTCAAAGGAGAGGTGCTCTATCCCTCTGATTATCTTCATAGCCCCATAAATGGCCAAATACCTTAAATATGGATTACAATATAGGGCACATTACAGTTCCTTAGTGCTGCACAGATAATAGTAATTGTGCTGTTTTAAATAATCACAGAAAAAGGACACTCTGGGGATAGGATTCATCTCACCAACTGGTTCCCAGAGGCCTCTAGTCTTCAAAAGGAACAATTGCTTAACTGGGTATACCATTTCTGGAGAGTTTTTAAGGCATTTCTTAGGGACTGCTTGTTTCTTACCTTGTAACACAGAGGTAGCTGATACACTGCTTTACTGGTTTGTGAACAGAGTACAGGCGCGTGCAAGGGAACTTTTCTTCACGACAATCTGGGAACACACACACACAAACACATTGGTGCAATCCAGCATCACTGGCAGGCGAACTCATTCTGGCACAGATATCACTTCATCACTAGGTACTGTCCTCCAGGATTCTAGGGAAGGCCTCCAGCCTCTATTGTCCTCTCTCTTGCGAGAGATGGGTATGGTTTAGAGAATAGGAAAATAATGCAGACATTTCTGCATGTGATACCCTTGTCTCATAGGACAAAAGCAAGGGAAAGTTGAGTGAAATGCAAAACAAGCTCACTGGGCATACTGAATACAGGAGGCACATGCTGTAAGGCTGACAGACACAAATAAATAAAATGTAAATTGTAGTTGCGTATTTAAGATGTGTTTCTAATAGATCTGCAATATCTCATTTCAGGACACTAATTTAGTTCCTTTTTTTCTGGACAATCAACCCTATAGCTAACTATGTTGGGTTTTCCCGTATTTCATTCTGAAATGCCAGGTATCGGCCAATGACAATGGCACAATATTGACCCAGTGTTTCTGGTCAGGTGATCTGCCACTTCCTCCCTTCCCAGGCATGCCAACCAGGAGAAGGCTGCAGTTTCCACTACCATAATTCTCCAGTACTTCTAACTCAAGAAACAATTGAAAGCAATTTTCCAGGAGACAAAGCTCAGTGCTCAGCCAGCACTTGTCTGGAGAGGTAACAGGGTGGGTGAAAGTGGGTTTGGGAGGGAATGCAGACAGCAAACTTAAAACATACCTGATGAAGCCGTTGCAGTTTCACTGTCAGACAGAACTGGAAGACAGAGGGTAGCAAAGTTAGTTAGTTACCGTAATTTCTTCCTAGATATGCGCTTTATCAAAACAAATACCTGGAAAGGTCTTTCAAGAGCCCTCCATTGTAACTTCCAAGGTGGGAAAAGATTTAATTGTTACTAACGTGAAACCATAAGAGAAGGTACAAATCCAATATGGATCTAGTGCCAACTACTCAGCCAATAATGGTAAAAATCTGCCCAAGCTTTCCCATAAAGCACTACCATTACTGTTCAAAATTACACTATAAGGGTATCTTCACTTAAAATTCAAAAGGTCAGGTAAATTTATTTAGTTGCTGTAATTACTATTTATCTAAACAAGAAGTGAAGGAGCCTGTGACTGCCTCTTCCTAAGGAATAGTGACACCTTTAAAAAACAGCATCCCCAAGACCTCTAGTTCTTTAATGTCCATGACAAAGGATCAGAAGAAGGTTGATTTGTTATTCCTTGTAATAAAGTAACCCATCTATACCACAGCAAACCAGTACATTTTATAATTTGCCCAGTAACAAACTGCAAAGGAATTCAGAGAACTGACTGCCAGGTGCAAGTTTTCATCAACAGTTAGAGAAGACTTTTACTTCTGCTCACGTGCCATAGTGTCAGCCAGAAATATAGACAAAACACATGTACACAAGGGAAAATGAGTCTTTTGGGTGTTGGGGCTGTGCTTAGGGGCAGTCAGAGATGGTAGGATTCTGGGTGTGCAAAGGACTGTGCAAGGAGAGGGAAGAAGGGTCTACAACATGTGGTTGTGAACTGAGAATAAACTTACCGGAAGGAGGAACTGCAGGTGGTGTAACAGCTGCAGCTGGAAAAAGAGAAGATGTTCTGAAAGATCTTAATTTGAGCTTTTGGCATGATAGGATGCTGCAGAGCAAAGATGGGTCCCAATGGTACATCTTTTGTGAAGAACTTTTCTTGATCCCTCAATAATAAGCATTTCAAAGCCCAAGCATTTCAAAGTTTGCTGCAAAGGCTTCACCTTTAGTCTTTTCAGTTTTAGATGTAGGTTAGTCACCACCAGTTTGGTCTAGACACTAAGTCTTATCTACACTCATACAGACTGTCAGGTCTCATATACTGAACACAATTGCTTTCACCTCCCATCCCACCCAGGATGTGTATACAATATGTTTCTTCCAGTTTTCTCTTCCAGTGTTGTCCCATGACAGCTTGACCCACAATAAATACTCCAGACAGATCATGAACAGAATCAGGGCAGAGGACAGATTATGGAACTGATGTCCTGGAAAACAAGACACCATTCTCAGATGAGCTCTCCTACACACACAGCACACTTCCCAGAAACAGCCATGCATAGCTGCCTCTCTTTGGACCATATCATTGACCAGATGTGTTCCCCCTCTCCCTTCCCTGTCTGGTCTTCCCAGCCTCAGGGGGATGTTGAGACTGCTTCAGCAGGGAGAGAAACCAGTCATGCCAGCTTTGAAACCAGACTCATATGGAAAAAGTGGGGAGGCTCCTTCTTGAGCCTCCTTTCCTCCATTGCCTGTTGTTGCAAATGCCTATACTCCCATCAGCTCTGTGTCCTTCCCCTGAGGTTATCTCCACTCTCTAAGGAGACACACTGCATGCTGTAAGTGTTCATCTTCCAAGTCCTCCACCTACCCTACCTTTGCTGCCTCCAAGTGACACACCAGGAGGCACTCTGGGGAAGACAGTACTAAAAGAAAAGTACGTCCACTTCCTGATCCCAACACTGCTCAGAGTTTGCTTTACTACTGTCTTTCAGGGTTTTTTTGCCACCTCTGTCTCCTGAGCATCAAGCACATGTGCTACCTGCCAGCAGACACACACACAACCTGTGTCCCAGTGCTGCTCAGTTTGAACCTGTCCAATTTCTCACCCTCGTCATTTAGTCTCTTTGTTTCTGCCACCTTCTGTGGAAGACAAGGCTGAGTGAGCTTGGAATTTCATGGCTTCCTGCAGTGCAAACATATTCAGAGAGCTCTGCTACATTAGGTGAGATTGGCATTTCCTCAGAGAACAGACCATTAAGTCACCCTAAATTAATCTCCCTCCATAGAGCACAGAAAAGATTCCCAGACAGCTGTAAACACTGGAAGAACATTGCTAGATGTCAAAAGTGGGAAGAGGGGTTTCTGGGCATAATGAGTAATTTCTGGGTGTGTGTAGGCAGAAGTACAGATGAAAAGGGAAAAAGAAGCATGAAGATGCCAAGAGATAGGAGCTTACCAGGGCTGCTGAGAAGAGAGGCAGGGGTAACATCACCTGGAAAAGAGAGAATGTTCTTAAGAAAGCTTCTCTTTACTTTGTGGTCCCTGATATAGCCAGCCATAGCTAGCTTGAACTACCTTGGCTGCCATCACAGGCTCATGAGACAGTGCGATCCAATCCAGTAAATTCATAAACAAACACAGTGCCCCCATCCCACCCGTATCTGTTCCCTTTGTCAGTGACTGGCCTGGAACTGGATTTTTTAGTGCACATGTTGCATGAACCCATACTGAATTCTGGGTGCATATTCTGACTTCTCAGATACGGCCATTTTAGGCATCTTGGTGGGAAAGAAAGATGTCTGAAATGAAGGTGCTGATGGCTCCTACAGCAGCAGGACAGACAGCTGAGGCACCCACTGCAGGGAAGGAGGGAGGCAGCTCTAAAACCTAGTCTTGGCTGCAGAAATTCATCAGCAGATGAGTTTCTTTGAAAGGCAAGTAATGGCAAAACTGAGGTGGAAGGATAAAGGGATAAAGTGATGGAGGGATAAAGTGTGAAGGAAAGGGAAACTTGGAGGACATGTTTTGGACTGCCTTCTGAATAGTTTTCTAGAAAGCCCCAGATACTACATGACAGGAGTGTAGCTGAAAGATGTCTGAAGGCTTAGCCAGGGGCTTCAGTTTGAAGAAAAGGCAGGCCCTTGTGGTTCTTCTGGGTGCTGAAGCACGATGCAAACATACATTCATTTTATATTACCATGTCACAGAAATGGATAAAGGTCCAGAGGGATAAAGCAATTCACCCCCAACAACAAAGCCAGTATGAAGACCACTCAGTATCCTTTCCCAGTGGCCTCACTGCTAAAGCAGCACTTGTGCACTTCAGCTAAGTGTTCAGGACCCCTACACCAGCAATTATTTGTAAAGAGCACAAAACATTTAGCAAGTTGTCTTGGAGGGCTTGTTCAATCTTCCCTGAAAAGTAAGCTCACAATGTCAGAGGTAAAGAAACAAAGAACAGTATTTGCTAATAAACAGGCTGTAACTCCACAGGACAATGGAGTCACATGAGCAACCTTCAGCACACAATATGCCTGTAATACTTACCAGTTGCACTTTCTGGTTCTTGCCCATTGACCACCCATGGAAACCAGTCTGCAAGAAAAGAAGAGAGGAGAGTGAAGAAAGACAGAGATTTCTACAGTCTGCAGGCTTTGTGAAATTTTTATGAGACATTTATCTATCCAGGAGACACCACTGCCCTCTGCTGAAGGGAGAAATCTCTTTACTCTGCCTCAGCCTCCACTGCTGGCCGGGTTTGTTGTTTGAAGACTCATGGACACAGCGAGTCCTGATCCGAACCCTGTTGCTTCCACAAGGGTCAATGGCTGGGCATAGGGACAAGTTAGTAAATACCTCCAGATCTCCTACCAGACTTTGCATTTCTGAAACCCCATTTGATGCATTTTGAAAAAAAATCCATGTGGCCTCCCTACTCTGGAGGCTGGTCAAAATCCCTATATTCATTTTATAAAAGAGGAAACTGAGTCATGGAAATTATTTACTTGGGGTCACGGATTGGTACAGTAAGAAACAGACTGCAGGTTTTGTATCTCCTTAGGCAAATAATTATCTGGTCCATCATCCTGCTTGGGTATAGAGCACAGAGCAGATGATCTTTCCCTTTTCTGCACCTGGGTGCACTGGAGAGGGGGAACAATGAAGGCTTGCTTGGCTGTGCATGCTGTGTGGAAGAGAAGAAACTGAAACTGGGCTAGACTGTTTGTTTGTCCAAATATGAAGGGCGAGAGAGCTGCTTCCTACAGCAGCCAGGAACAGGAAAGTATTTCCTGCAAGCCACAGAGGAGGGAAATGTCTGCATAACTGGAGTGGGATGAAGGAAGGAGTTGGCAGGAAAAAGCCACAGATCTGGGGCACTGCAGGGATGTGTGCATGATCAGCCCAAAAAACATTACACCCCGCTATGTCTTGTGAACTCAGCCTTTAGCTTTCTGTTCTTAATGTTCTTCTTTTACCCCACCATCTGGGTAAAAAATATCGGCTCTGGAGCTTCTGTCTTAGTTTTTCCATGTTCCAAGAACAGTTACTTGCAGACTGCAGAGGGACTCTTGGGACCCCTACATAATCCTGCTTTGCAGCATTACAGGAGTTGTTGGACCCTGATATTCTCTTCCCCACCCAGCTGCCAGCAACAGCTCAGCTGCTGGCAATTAACCCAGGGAGAGCCAGACATGTATAATAACTTAATTGCACAATTTAATGCAGCCCAAAACTTTCCCTGTTCTGGCTAATCTCTTAATTGTAACATATAGAGAAGTAAGTGGTAGTGAACACTTTCTCACTTGTTTCTGATGCAAAAGGAAGGACACAAATTCTGAAACCATTGCAGAAGCCAGCAGTGCCGGATTTGAAGAGACATATAGAAAAGGCAGGGAGGCTCTCCCCTCTTTTCTAACATTGAAAAGTCAGATCTTACTAGTTTGGTGGTTTTTTTTCCTCCCTAGGAGCTAACTAGAAAACTGATCTAATTCTAAAACAAGTGAAGTGAAATCTCTGCATATGAGGTGAGGAGATAAAACAGGTGACTTTCTTATCCTATTTTCAATTACTTCAATTTATATTTGCTATTGTACCAAATTCATATGTTTTATAAACAGCTGGAGTCTATTCTCCAAATTGCAGTAAATTCATCCCTGAGGTCTAAAACTGCAACTCTAACTCACTGAATCTGTAGTTTACCCCAAAACAAAAGAAGCAGTGAGAGATAAGCTGATCGTTCCTGTTATTTTCCAAGTTAAAATAAACAAACAAACAAACACCAACAGAACTGCTAAAACAAAATACACAAAAGTAAGAAATATTCCTTTCAGGCCTCCTTCATTCATCATAAAAACCACAGGCTTCTTTTTTTCCCCCTTAACTTTGTAGGCCACCTACAAACTCATCTCTTGGATGCCTCACCTCCCCACTTCACATTCGTAAATATGACATTGTCTACTGTGCACCTTTAAAGGAGAAAGTGCTATTTGGAGCAGAATCAGGCTTCAGCATGAGGGGAGGACCAAAGAAGGTATTGCAGTAACCTGATTTGAATGTGATAGGTAGTTAGGTAATCACCTCTCTCCCACATAGAGTCTTTCCTGGGTGAAACTTTATCTGTTCATTGAAATTCATCTTCTTTCACTGTCTGTCCTGAGTCTTCCAATTGTAATGTCTGATGCTGTCCTTTTGTTTGGGGTTTTTTGTGCCTTTTTTTTTTGTTTTAAACAAAGTTGATCCCACCTGAATTTTTGCCAAAGTAGCTCCAAGCAAAAAAAATTACGGAGCAACAAAACAGAGTAACAACATCCACTATCACCAAAAGCAAAAAGTCGTCTGAACTACAGAGGTTAGGTTTCTCAAAACAGCTGTACAAAGAACTACAAAACCTTCCAGCAGCCGAGTGGCCTGAAATGGGGTCATTCCAGCAGGAACTTCTAGTGACAGCAAATGTGTCATAACTATGACAGAACAAATTTTGTGGAGCACTGGGAAATGCCCTGAATACACAGGTGGTACACCAGTAAGCATAAAGCACACCTAACTCTCTTTCTCAAACTGACCCGGCTGTTTTGCTTACATAAGCGTCCCTGAAGTGGAGGCTGTAGATCTTTGTCTCTTGTGACTCCCAATACTTACTAGAGACTGTCACAGATGAGAACCTGTTTCCAGTTTCTAATTTTTCCTTACAGCCCTATATCCACCTTGCCTTTCCTGTTCGGTACTTCCCCTTTCACTACCCATCTACATGTCTCTGTCTTTCTTCTTAGGTCATTGCTTATTAGTCTGTGTAGGAAATTCTGTGGGGCACAGCTGGGGAAGAAATCCTCCCCCTGGCATAAGGACTCACCAGCTGGGGACAAGAAGAGTGCCAAGAGACACAACAGTATACAGGTTCCAGAGTTCTTCATCCCTGTGGAGTTGAGGAGAGAGCAGTCAGAGGAAAGCTAAGGCAGGAACTGGAGTACGCTCCCCCACAGCAGAGAAACTTTGCTTGCTATCCTGCATTTCCCTCTCAACACCATTTGGTCTTCCCAGCCTCCTTCCTGTCTCCCTCCTCATCTGGCCAGTTTTCCAGGTGTTTCAGAAATATTCTGGACTGAACTTATAACATCACCTGCTTTCTTCCTCTTTCCATCTCCTTCCCCCAGGCCCCATCTTTTTTCTCATCCAGGTGGCTAAGCCCCACTCCACACATACATCCAGCATGCAAAGAAAAGTTTCCCCCACATTATCTCCCTCCATTCTCTTCTACTTTTAAGTTATTTTGAGGAGCACTGAGACAATAGATAGGGTCCCCATCACTTACTGCAGCCCTCAGCTTCCACTCCCTTCGGCAGCAAACGTTCTGTCTTTCCCCTTCAGCGTCCCCCCCACTTTAGCTATTGGGTAAATCACATGCAGCCACACCCGGAATACGTTCTCCTTTTGGTTGTCTTCAAAAATACAATTTCTGGGAAAAAAAAAAAAAAAGCCAGCGAGATGGAGGGACATGGTGTCATCATGCATCTGGAATGAGGGGGGGGGAGCGAGAAGCAGCTGCCCACACCCTCATTCCGGAGTTTATTGTCCTCCGAAGGGCTCCTCCCATTCCCCCAGGATGGCCCAGCACCAGGGATGGATTCTTGGGTCTGTGTTGCACACTGGTGTCCCATTTCGTCCTTCCCTCCTGCACACTCCCGCTTCTCCTCACGCCGCTACCTCTAGCCACGATTCCCCACTAAGCTGCGGCCTCTTCCCACCCCAGTCCTTCTGTCCTCTTCCCCGTTTCCCTGCGCGTCTCTCGCACAGGGACAGTGCAGAACCGCATCCCATGTACCCACAGGATGGGGGGGTGGGAGCAGCCGTGTCCCGCGGGGACCGAGCGCGGGCGGCGGGACGGGGGGCACAGGGCGGGGGCACACGGCGAGGGGCAGGCGGGCAATCGACGGGCAGCAGCAGCGGTGACATCACCCCGCTGCCCCGCCAGGGCGGGGCTGGAGCCTCCCGGCTGGATGGAGGGAAGGGGCTCCCGCCTGGACCAGGCTGGTGGCGGGGAGGGGGCACGGGGAGCAGGTACCGCCCATGGGGCCCGTTCTGCAGCGGCGCTGCCTGTCTGTGTGCAAAAAATAGAAAAAAAAATTAAAAAAAAAGGTAAAAAAGTAGGAAAGTGAGGGAGACAAACTGAGAAGGGAAGAATGGGACCTGACCTTCACTGCCATCCTCCTGACTCCCCTGTGCCTCCACTCTGCATTTTATGAGCCCCAACAGAATAACCACCCTCCCCTAACCCTTCCTCCAACAGCCCCTGCATCCCTCATCTCCTGTTGCTTTTGCTGACTTATTTTCCCTTTGTTGTTTCTGTAACTAGTCCTCTGGATCTGAGGAGGCAGTGGATGAGCTTCAAGGCACAGTCTCAGTCCTGAAGGCAAGGAGAAATCTAGGAAATGACCCCACTCCCTCTCTCATCTAGCAATGAAACCTTGTAGGGGAAAGCTGTGTCCCCTAAGGCTCATCGTTAGCTTGTTCTCAACTAAATGCAGACTAGAAATAAAATTCTATAATGCTTTATACAAAGTTACTAATGGAAATTCTCACTATGTCCTCTCTGCCACAGGAGACTCAGAAGAGTTTTGCCCACATGTGACATAACTGATGTCACCACTTCTTACCTGATAGTGGCTGAGCATTGGGTGTGGTAGTGCTCAAGAGGGAAATGACTGCTCCTTCTTATTTCTGGTCCTCCCAAGGCCCCTGGAGGATGCACCATTGATGGACTGTACTAGAGGAGGGACAGAGGGGATGGGGAAAGCTAGGAATTTCCCTGGTACCAGGACAGCCTTCTGGAGCCAAACAGCATTGCACTGTTTCACTGGAGCGAGACACCAACATTTGCACTTTCAGAGACCAGCTAAAACTGGGTGCATTGGAAACGCTGGTGAGGTCATTACACAACAAAAAGAATGTGATGGAAGTTATAACCACACCTCAGGTTGAGTAATCCTCTAAGATTCTTGGCTTTTACTGGAAGTCCACATATCAGTATGTTTGGGTTACAATACTCCACACACCTTGGTTTGGTTTTTGTTTTTCTCTGTACTTCTGTGTTGTCATTCAAGCCTCTGTTACTGCTTAACGGGATAACTAAAACATCCTGAAGACTTTGTGAGTTTTGAACACATTTATTAGGAAACTTTCATTGATGCCAAATGTTTTGGTCTACCGATGTGCTGATGTACCACCATCTCCCACAGAGCACAGGATTCACAACCGATCTTGGGCAAAGTTTCTGCTGATTGCTTCTGAGCTTTAAATCCTTCTTTCAAACTGGAAGACTGTGTCCTCCCCCAGCAGCTCGGTGTGGGTAGACCCGTGGTGCTAGCAGCACGCCTCCATTTGGAGAGCTTGGTCGATGCTCCTGGTGATGGAATCGCTGGCTAAGAAGCAGTTCAGTATTTTACAGGCCAGACAAGCCGCGGAGAAATAGCTGGAGGTATCATGCTGCTCTTGCTCGCGGTGGACACCGGAGGGAGCCGCAGCACAATGGCATGAGAACGCCCCTTTTTCCTCTTGCAGTCCAGGCACACTCTTCAAGAGATGTGGCTCTGTGTCTGCAGGCCTCCATCTGGCATGAAGTATGTCCTCCTAGCTCTCCTAATTGTCTACTGGATTCACAACTGTTTAATCGGTTTGCTTTTTGAGACAGAAAAGAATCTTGTTTTTTTTCCCCCCATCCTTGCCCCATGACATTGACAAAGGTAGTTGGACAGCCCTCACAGCTAGGAGATATGAAAAATTAACATCCTTCTGCACCTTCCCTTCTCATTCACCCAGTTGCTGTCTTGTGATTTGTGGGCTGCTGTCCTCCATCACAGGGTATCCTGGGGACATCTACAGCTGATGACTCAAGATGAAGCACTCTTCCTTCTAAAAATTCAGGTATCAAGGCCACAGTATGGTGTGACGAACTGTGCTGCAGTAAAAGACGTGGGTGACTCATAAAGGAAACACATATTCCCTAAGTGCTGACTCCAATGCTTGTAGGTGTTTACCTAAGATCAGAAGCAGTGACAGTGATTCAGCAAAAAGTTATTTTCCTTCCCAGTTGGTACTGATCCCATTATGTTACCAGAGATGCTATAGTGATAGTAGCATGGATAAGACACAAAACTGGCCTTCCTAGAAATTAAAATCACCTGATGCATTTCACCCCAGAGACTTCTGTGTCTCAGCAGACGGGTGAGTGATCCTGAGGCATACTATTTGTATAGGTCTTAGACCAGCATTTAAATTCCTACTGATTTCTTTCCCTTTCCTTCTTTGTCTTCTTGGCCTTCACATATCCTCACGGTAACTGGGCATTAAGTTACATCTGACTGATAAGAAATTAATGAACTGCTGTAAGATATGTGAATGTATCATGTCAATAATGCAGGACTACTAGTCATGTGAATTGGGGCTGAAATGAATTTTCTTGGGTCCCACACTGCTGATGGGCTCCACTAATACCTGAGGTCTGGCATCATCCTGCAGTTGTTCTGCAGGTTTTGCTGAGGTCATCAGAGGGAAGGGACATGAGTTCAAGGCCTGATCCATCTATCCCCAATTTTTGGAGATTCACATCTGACTTTGTATCCAACCCACTGCAGAAGTGCAAACACTGCAAAGTGCAGCAGCTTGGACACAATTTGTCTCTTTTTGACTCATAGTCATGCTTTCCGTTGTCCCATCTACAAAAATGAAGAATTCTTCACCCCTCTATTTCCAAATCAACAAGGCAGTGCTTAGAGGGCATACAGTCTTGCAGTCACAAAATGCACTAAGATAGTCCATGAAACTCTGATTAATACCCACTCAGCTCCTTCAAATCAGTTCAGCACTGTGAAGAACTGACCACAAGAAGAGGAAATCAGTGAGCTCTTTGCTATTGGTTGGTGACAGCCACAAGCTTCAGGCCTTTCCTGGACAAGGTGGTTATGGTGAATTGCCAGAATTTTCCTTCTTCATTTGCTGTGCTTTGGTGTTTCCTTTGCTGCTCTTTCTGTAGTTCTTACTATCATAAATATAGTTCCTTTCTGATCCTTTGTACTGTCTCAGGGCCAATTTCTCCTGGCTGTTTCACCTGTTCCTCCATATTCCCCTTTCTTCAAGCAGCTGAGCTCAAATATGGCTTCTCTCACAGAACATTTTCCAAGACTGCTCTCTCAGGGGGACAGGTAACACTTTAAGCTTAACAAATATATAAATCCCTCATGTAAGCCCAGTATATGTGTCCATACAGAGTCTGGAGTACATAGAACGCCATATTTAATTTAACTGGTGCAACTTTTCCATACAGACAAGGCTGCAGCCACAAGTAAAATGCCAGTAAAGACATGATGGATTCCCCCTCCCCTTCTCCCATCTCTTCTGGACAGCACAAACCCTGGAGCGAAGCCAGCAGGATTAACCCTCTTGTTGCAGCACAGTGATCAAGCACTGGAGCAGTAACCAGAGCTGGCTAAAGAAGTCACTGCTGGGAAGCGGAGTGGTGTCTTACTCCTATACAGAGAGGTTCACTAGAGCCGGTCCAGCAGAGATGAAATCACAGTTGAGCTTTCCAAACAATACAGTATCTGTCTCACTTGAGGTCCAGTCTTTTGTACCATTTGTATTGTCTTTTAGTAGTCCTCTAAGGTGGAACAGATTTTAGTGGTTTTTTTTTTACCCTTACAGTCTAAAACCAGGAGTGGCGCTCCTCTAGCCCTCCTCCCAAGAAAATCAGCTCCAAAAATCCAAAAATCACACACCGAAAGGGCTACTCCAATGTTTAGTGTTGCAGTGCTGACATGTACATCATTCTGAGATCCTCACACAGCTCCGTGAGTGCAGTAGTGGGGCTATGGGGAGTACTGGATTTTAAAATATGTGATGAAACTGGGGCAGCGTGCAGTGCCTGAATTGGACACACCCTTTCAATTAAAAGAGGCATTAGAGTGAGAGAGGTATACAGGTCCATGCTTACAGAGAGGTTTCATGTGCACATAGAGAGACTGGGAGAAGAAACAGCAATTAAAAAGAAAATAAAGCAAAAGTATAGATATCATATTATATTAATTATATTGAAAAATAGAATACCTGTAAATTTTTAAACACCATTGAGGAAGGGGCAAAATTGGCAATTTTAAGAGCCATTTGCTTTAAATTCTTTAACATTTAGAAAAGATCTGTTGTCAAAACCTTTTCTTAAATTGGCCACATCCAAAATATACAAACTGTTGAAGTCCTTCTCAGTGTCAGCATTCACAGCACTCAGCCTGCTTCTAATAGGACATAATAAAGAAGAACAACAGTTGCACCGAGTAGAAGAAATGCAAATGAAGCTACCTGTTAGCAGACAAACTGATAAAAGTTCATATTGTGGGGAAAATTAGGAGGCACCATTTTCAGGTTTTTATGCCTCCATTTCCTATATCCCTCCATTTCACTGGGACTGTAAAGTCTGCCTTTTATCATCATTTATGTTTTGTTCTACAGTTGACATTAGAGAAATCTGAACAAAGATTTTGGGCATTACTGAAACTGCAGTGGTATAAATCACTGTCTCTCCTGTAGGTACTGCTGACTTCAACCAGATCACTTGAATTTTCTTCTGACCTTCCCCATGTATAGTGACTATTCTAACTCAATGGCAGACTGAAACTAAGGCAAGCAATGTTAACGAAAATCTGTCCTAATGTGATATGTATATGCATAAAGGGCCTGCACTGCTCTAGCTACCTCAGTTTTAAAGAGATGAAAACAGCAACCATTCTGTATCAACCTCAACAGCACCTTCACAAGATGCCTGTAAAAGAGCAACAATGTTGGTAGCTGAAAAACCTAATTGGATACTATTATAATAATTTCTTGCCTCTGTCCATCAATGCAGCTGCCCTGATATGTATCTTTTTATGAAAAAGGACTTCAACTATTCAGCCATTATGCTCTCGTTCTTAGAATAAAAAAACACATTGGAATTTTATTTGCATGCAGCTGTAAAGAATATTTGCATTCAAAACAAAGCCCACTGGCTTTGCTTGTTAAACTATCTAAATGTTATTTCATATCAACCAAACCTCCTTAGCAAGGCTCCTCTGGCTATTTATTGTATCCTCCTTGAGTTTTCTTGCCATTCTTGCCTTCTCAGGTTTCTCACCAATTTAATTCTTGGGTTTTTTTGCTATGTTTTCCTTTTCCTGCACCTAGTCTTTTTTCTTCCCCTATTTCTGCATTTATTCCTATATTTCTGTATATGCCTTTTTCTTTCTTGATTTTTTTTTCTTTTCCTCCCCTTAGTGCTCTTTCTCCCGGTTTTTCTCTCTGAACAAGCTTTTCTGACTTTGGCATTCTCTCTGTCTCCTTGGTTTCCTTTCAGTTGCCCAGTCGCCCTCACTGGAATGTTGGCAGAAACATATTTTTCTTTGAAAACAAAGAGACTAAATAAGTAAATGGATAAATAAAATAGCTGGGAGCAGATGGGAGGTTTCAATTCTGGAATGGTCTGTATTCTGTGAGCTTTTCTCACTTCTTAGCAAAGGAGGAGATAGTTGCACTCCCTGCCCACCCACCCCCAGCCTCACAGGGAGCCAGGCTTCCCCCTCCCCTGGCGTGAGGACCTTGCTGGGAGTGATGGATTGCACTGCAGTGAGGGCTTGAAGCACTGCAGGGAGAGAAGGGGGAGGGATGGGGAAGGACGAGAGGGAGGGAAGAAGGGAGGAGACACGCTGGCAGCGTCAGGCCAGGAAGGATGTAGCCGGGTTGATGAGAAGAGACGGGGGGGGGGTGGGGTGGGGGTGCTGGAAAACGGGAATTGGGAGGGCATGGTGGGTGTGGATGTGCGTTTCTGCCGGCAGCACGGCTCCGAGCAGATTGGTGAGCCCAGGAATGATGGAGACAAGGCAGTGTGGGCAAAGCTGTCACTGGGCAGCGGGGGAGACGGGCAGGGAAAAGGGAAAAGGGATAGGGAATGGGAAGAGGGATAAAAAGTCAGAGAAAGTAAGGCTTTGGCTGTACAGCAACGACAAAAGGACACAACTCTCGCAATCTAGATTTCCTTGGAGCTGTAACAGAGGAGGCAATGTTGATGTAGAACACTGAAAAGGTCAAACAAGACCATTCATTCAGCAAACGGTCATTCAGCAAATCGTACTGAAATGGGCTTTCATTGCATTCCAAAGGGTGGTAACAGCATGACCTTTGGGCAGTAGCGAGGTACATCTGTACCGCCGAAGCTACTGGCGATGGTGAGCTTGCAGCGTCTGGCTGCAGCAGCTTATTGCCCTGTGGATTTTGGCAAGGAGGACGCGCGTCCTTTTGCCTGGGCACCGTGAGGAATGCAGATGACCTCCCCACTGCACCAATTGCAAGTGCTGAAACATCACTTGTCATTGTTTGTTGACTTTCACGCTTCTCTTCTTCCTTATTTTAATATACATTTCTCCATCTGTTCCTTATTCATTGCCCAGATTTTTTTCTCCATTTCCATCCAGCCTCCTTTCTCCATTATTAACATCTTTTTTTTTTTTTTTTCCTCAATTCTCCTCCAGCATTACCTTCCTCCCCTCCTTCCTTTCTCTCTGCCCTTTCGCGGACGTCCCCCTGCCCACCCCGAGGCGCAGCGCTGGGAAGGGGCTCGGCGGGCGCCCGGCGGCGGATGCTGGGGGCTCGGGGCTGGGGGAGGATGGGGAGCGGGGCGGGTCTGCTAGCAGCCCTGCGACAGGCCTGCAGGACGCTGCCCCGCCCCTGCAACTTCGCAGAAAGACCCCTCCGCCTTCCATCCACTCGCTCCCCTCTGGATATAACTGGCTCTCCGCCCCCCATCGCACTGCACCAGCTGCGCTTTCCAGCTACGCTGACCTAGTTCTGGCCTCCCTGAGAGGCACCTCTGTCCCCCTCCTCCCTTAGCACCTCCCGTAGCACCTGGCCTTAGCACGGGAGGAAAGGGGAGGAAAGGCTCCCTCACACCGCAGGGAGCCTCCTAAGCACAGTTCCTATCATGGCGTCGGACCTTGCGAGAGGAGACCAGAACTGGAGATGCAGGAGCCCGCCCCTCAGTCACCTCTGTCGGCTCAAGGCAGGCAAGGGACGATGGGTGTGTAGGCACACCAGCAAGGTGGCGAGAGGGGGTATCAGAGTTAGATGAAGAAAAGATGAAGAAACAACTCCCCACGAATGAGAGAAGTCTTGGAAAAAAAACCCAGATTGCCTGCTCTCATCAGATCTGGGCACAGAACTGCCGGACAGAAGAGGATAACATCAACACGATGGGGATAAACTCGGAGACATTCAACCTGCTGCCTGAAGCTCTTTAGCTCGCAGGGCAGATGTTTATCAGACTTAATGCAGCAGAGTGCCTGCGAGGTATAGCCACCCTGTGGTTGCATCAGATCCTTCCCAACAGGCACTGAAATCTTAAGTCATCACTGCAACAGCATTCATCAAAAGACAATGGAGAAAGAGACAGAAAAGGGCAAAACAGGAGTCAAAAAGAGGTAAATGAACAGGAAAGAAAACCAGGCAGGCAGGAACTTTCTCAAGATGGTAAAGGAAAAATGCAGACTGAGAAAAACAGCTGGAAAAGGGGCCAGGCAGATGACAAAGAGTGGCAGAAGGGAGATACAGAGAAAAAGAAGTATTTTCCTTTCAAATGACTGTTTCCATCGAAAGCACATTCATCCTTTTGTCCAGCTCCTCAGTACTGTTCCCTGTTTCCCTGCAGCAGAACTGCAACTTAGTTGGGGGAAATGCACTCCTGTCTTCTGGAACTGGGAGCTGCTGGTTATATACCAACCTTTGAAGCTTACCAGCTGCTATTCACCCATTCCTTTGTTTCTGCCTGTAACTCTGCCCGCCTGGGCTTCTTTGTGTCTCGCAGTTCTCAAACTGTTCCCAGAATAAGGATAACAGAAGCCTCTGACCTTCTCCAAAGTTACTTATTCAATTAGATGCATGCTCTCCTCCCTTCTGTCCCCAAATGTTGTTGTCTGGCAGGAAAATTCTTGCAATGCCCCTCTGAGCCCCTTTCTTCTGTCAGGATTGTGCCCTGAGCCTGAGCCTCCTTTCAAATGCTGGGAACAAGGGGGTTCCCATTCCTTCTATTCCACCACCTGCACAGACCACTGTTATTTTGTCTCAGTATTTACAGCAAAATAATTATTTCCCCCGCAGCAGTCTGCTGGCTTCCTTCCCACCGCCTGGCATAGGAAACGGGCAGTCGCGCCCTCCCCCTCCCTGCGCGTTCGGCACTTGCCGCCTCTCCACTCCAGGACCGGCAGGGATGCAGGGCTTCCTGAACCGCCCTACACGGGCAGCAGCACCCCCGCTTCCCCAGCCCTAGTGCCCCCCTCCCGGTCCCCCCGCCTCGGGGCACTCCAAAGCCCGGCCGGCGCTGCCGCCGGCGGGACGGCGGTGCTGTCAGCCGGCCTGGCGGCAGAGACCTCGCCGCCGCCGGTCGCAGCCGGGCTGCGGGCAGGGTTTATTCAGAGGCAGCGGTGGGTCCGGTGGGATGAAGCACATGGAGCCAGGCACGTGTGACGGACTTACCTGCAAGCTGGGGTGTTGCATTCTGGAGGGCATGGTGCTGGGTCAAAGTGTTTTTGGGACTCAGTCAGTGAAACCTGGAACCTTCTGCAGATCCCCTCAGCAGGGTGTCCTTTGTATTAGCAGTACTGTCTCCATTTTCTGCTATCTTACAGTAGTTTATTCAGAACAGTAATTAGTATAACAGGCAGAACCAATGAGAAACTGAGGTTGTATGAAAATAAGGATTATTTTGCACCATTTGGCATAGTCCTCATTTTACATGGTATGAAACAAGAATGATACGGCCATTTCTTGTTGAAACACAGTCCAGAACTTGTTTCCTTCCATGGGACCATCTGTGTTCATATGTGAACCCAAGCATTCATGTGTGAACACAGGCATTTACCTTGCCTTATACATATTTTTTTTATTATGCAGTCATCCAAGCAGGAAGCAAAAACATCGCTATGAGATTCAGCTGACCAAATGAGTAGCTACTGAAGACACAGGGAGCACACAGTCAGCACGCAGGGAAATGGGTATAAATAATTAGGCCTAGCAATATCTGCAGGTTGGATTTTCCACCATTTTTCCATCACAAGATCACCAGAGACAGCATATGAAACTTTACAGTGTGAAAAATGGGATAATGTCCTGCGGACTTTGGCTTCAGGACTAAACAGCTGGTTTGCAGTTTTAGTGAACTCAGTGACAAAAGATATTTCATGGAATCAACCGTGAAATCAGATTTTGCATACATTAAGGCTTTGGACCAGTCCTTACATTATGCATTACAGAGTGCATGGGAAAAATCTCAAAAGAAAGGTGCCAGGAATCTTTAGTGTTCAGAGGCGTCCATTCCTTGCTGCTACTACAATTATATTTCTTCCCTAAAGGGTGAAGCTTGGTATTCTGGATCACTGACACACTCCCCAGTATTGTCCTTGCACTATTAAATAGTAGGAATTCTGTCCTGAGAATGAGATTTATGGGTAACAGGAAAGGCCTCACCTTTACTGGATAGAAAATAATAGAAAAAAGAGGTCTTGCCTAATTCCAGGGAAGTATAACATCTACATCCAACTCAGCTGCAGTGACAACTCTTCAAAAAAAAAAAAACAATTCAAAAGCTTCTGCAGCAGTGGGCACATCCTGGGTGGGCATGTCCTGAGTAGTAAATTGACCCTTTCTCCTGCTCTACCTTTCCAAGAAATAGTAAAAGATTTTCAGAACTCCTTCCAAACTCAGGTTTCTAGATGATGGGAAATTGTTCTAGAGATATAGGTTATCCAACCTGTGACAAAGTACGACATACTACAACTCCAGTAACTCAACGAACAGTAATAAAAAGGATACAAGGCGACATTTTGCATGTGAGAGAACTATGAAGGTAAATGGCAGTTGGTGGAATAAATTGTTACTGATAATCATAAGACCCAGCTGAAACATCTCAAATGGTTTGAGATCAAATATCTTACTGTTACCATGACGAGTGTTTTTCCTGTACTTGTAGAATGACTTCCTCTCAGATGTCTTATAACCAAAAGTACGTTTGTATGGCCAAAAATCTACATTCCTGAATTTTCCAGCTGTGCAATTCTCCTCTTTCCACAAACTGCTAACGATGTTTAGCAGGAGAGGCACCTGCCTTACAGCTTGACTGCTTATTGAAATATAAAAGAAAAAATTCTGCTATTATTATGTTACTGTAGTTTTAGTTATATAAATACTAATGCAGACATTTTTCTTTCCCCTTTGCTTTATGCTGTCTTAAAAACAGCATACATGAATCCAGAAGAAATCTTAGTCTGAAATACACATACATGCTAGGCAATGGGCAGTGGTTGCACAATCTTCAGCAGAGCAGTGATACCACAGTAGCTCTTTGTTAGCAAATTCCCTGTGTAAACAAGCCCTGTGCACCTCACAGCCTGAAAGTACAACTTTTGGAAGTGTGGACTTGGTGCACATTGGAACTCTATTCCAGAAGGCTTTAGCATGTAGTAATTCTGTTTAAAAAGATAATGTTTCATTACTGTCAAGATAACAGAGAAACTGTTTAGCATTTTGGTGTTATTTATTTATTTACTTACTAGTTTACCCTGCTGGTAATTGCCTATGATTGCCTCCTGCTCTCAAGTTATACTTTGAGTTGGCATTTAGGCAAGTGGTAGTGTATTTTTCCTTATACTGTTGTATGGTCAGACAGATGTCTTAGAGAGCAACCCAAGCAGACAGGCGAGCACTGAATGATGTCTGAGTAGCTGGGGATTTTGGCCTCTGACATCATCTGTGAGGTAGCTTTGCCTCTTACGCATGAAGCAAATAGTTTTCAGAAGAGTACCTGAATCGCGCCTGAGGTTTGGGGAGTAGGACCCAGTTGTTTGCAGAACCAAATGAACAAACGTGTGTTCCCTTCAGTGAAGTCAGTCCTAGAAATGCTCAATGATGTTTGTGTTATGAGTATTTTAACCACCAGGTATAATTTTGCAGAAGATATACCAAAGGTGAAGCATATGACACTACAATACAGCATTGCGCAGTATGAATGAATAAACATCGCAGATGATTTTAGGGCATTCTCTCTTCCAATACATAGGTTACTCTTGCGGAAGTCAGTCCCATCGTGTCAGTTAAACATCATGGATACTGCATGAAAGGTTTGGATGGCTCAGCTTTATCCTGCAACTGCAGATTGGAAAGCCTGTCTGGAATGGTCACATGTAGATGAACTGTGCTGGGGAGGCAAAGACTATGTAAACTGTCTGTCATTCAAGTGAGAGAATTAAGACGAGTAGGACAGAACCGCCACATGCTAAAGAGGCAGAAGAAAGCAGGTTGACAGGTAACCTTCATGGTATGATGGGTGTTCGGGGGTATCAGAATGACTAGGTGAGTATGTCCCATATTTGCAAAGCTGGGAGTGTAGCACAGGTTAGCGAGGAACACACATGTTGTTCCCCTGGTGTGCAGAGCGTATGTTTGCTGTGTCTAGAGGTTCTGAAGGTTGGTGAAGGAGAAACTCACACAGGACAATGTGGAATATACAGCTGATATGACACAGTGAATGAAAAGGGTGTGGTACGAAGGAAACTGAGTAGGTGTGCCACAGAAACTGATAAACAAGGTGTGTTGGTTGATACAGGGGATGTGTCATATTTGTCTGCTGCCAACAGTTATTATTTTAGAGAAATGACAGCAGCGAGGGATGATGCAGCCCTGGCTGCACACTGGGTACACATGATGGTGTGTGGTGGGTGGTGCGTAGGACATGTCACACGTGACATAGGACAACGGGACGTAGTCTCAAGCTGCAACAGGGGAAGTTTATGCTGGACATTAAGAGAATTTCTTCACAGAAAGGGTGATTAGATATTGGAATGGGCTGCCCAGTGAGATGGTGGAGTCACCATCCCTGGAGATGTTTAAGGAAAGACTGGATGTGGCGCTCCAGTGTAGTTGACATGGTGGTGTTTGGACACAGGTTGGACTCGGTGATCTCAGAGGTCTGATTATGTGATTCTGTCACACCTTTAACTGAACACGAAGGATGAGGGTTCTGGGTTTGCATGCCACATGCCAACAGCAGCAGTGACGAGTGTGACAGACATCGTACATTTTGCTGACAGTGTGGCTGCTTGTACTGTGCTGGGGCTGGTCACTCGTGGCAGTGGGATGGTGCCTGCACCCCTGAGTGGGCAGTTAGGGTGGAAGGTGGGGACTGCAGGAGAAGCTGGGTCGGCACAGCAGGGCCTGGGCTGGGGTCTGCCATGGCAGTGGGGGCTGGACTGAATCCCCAGCTAGGGCAGAGGAGGAGAGTGGGAACAGGTAGGAGGAAGAGCATTAGGAAAAGCACTGCCAGTATGTCCAGGGAGGTGATCCTGTCCCTCTGCTCAGCCTTGGTGAGGCTGCATCTGTAGGGCTGTGTCCAGTCTGGGCTCCTCAGTAAGGAGAGACATGGAACTCCTGGAACAGGTCCAGCAGATGAAAATGAGGATGACTGGGGAACTGAAGCGTCTCTCTTACAAGGAAAGGCTGAGGGAGTTGGGCCTGTTCATCCTTGAGAAGAGATGACTCAGAGGGGACCTCATTAATGTGTGTAAGTGTCTGAAGGGAGGTGTGCCAAGAGGATGGATCCAGGCTCTTCTTGGTGGTGCCGAGCTATAAGACAAGAGGAAATGGGCAGAAACTGATGCACAGGAAGTTCCACCTGAGTATGAGGAAGAACTTTACCATAAGGGTGACCAAGCACTGGAACAGGTTGCCTAGAGAGGTTGTGGAGTCTCCCTCACTGGAGATATTCCAGAACCGTCTGACACAGTCCCGTGCCATGTGCTCTAGGATGACCCTGCCTGAGCAGGGCGGTTGGACCAGATGACCTGCTGTGGTCCCTTCCAGCCTGGCCCGTTCCCAGGCTCTGTGGGAGGCCTCGGCCGTTAGACAGGGGCGGCCTCACCGCGCGGGCGGTGCCGCCGCTCACGGGCAGCGGTTCGGTCCGGCCCCGCGCGTGCCGAGCCCGGCCCGGCCGTTACGGCACCGCCGCCGCTCCGCTGTGAGGCGGCGAGAGCGGGCGCGGGCGGCGGCGGCGGGCGGGGGGCTCGGTGCAGGGAACAGCCGCGGCCTCCTCGCCTCAGCCGCGGGGAGGAGGGACACCGAGAAGGGGGGAAGGCGGGGGGGGGGGGGTGAGGGAGGGGGGCGAGCGTCGCGTCGCGTCGCGTCGCCCGCTTCCCTCTA